CGCCTCGTCCTCCTCCTCCTCATCCTCCTCCTCCTCAATCCTCCTCCTCCTCCTCCTCCTCCGCCTCCTCCTCCTCCGCCTCCTCCTCCTCCTCTCTGCTCCAGGAAAAGGCGGACAAACCTGGTTGGGAATCTTAACTGTGGATTGACCCTGGGGGGACGACGCACACATAGTATTAGTGTGCTGGGGTGACGCCGATGGTTGGGCATTTAAACTGTGGATTGACCTTCTGTAGGCTCCGCTGGGCTTCGGAGGGCGTGCTCTCGAAGCCGTCCCCACTTGGAGGAAAGGGCATCTGGCCCCATCGCGGTCATGGGGCGTTCTGTGGAACGTTTTGTGTGGAGAATGACGGGGTGCAGCTCCCTCGTGGATGACACGGGTGTTGAGGTCCCCTCACCTTGATTTCCCCCGCCCTCCTTCAGAGGCTCCTCAGGGACGCGGTCATGCTGTGTCACGAGAGAACCTTCGGAGACAGCTTTGATCTTGAGCGGCGAGCTTGCATGTCCTGCTCGCTGCCATGGCATCCTCGAAATTCACCCCTTGGGAGTCAGGTTGCATCCGTGAGTTGGCTTGTCAGGCCGCATTGGGTTGGGATATCTACTTCCCGCCCCCTGCGCCCCATGTGCAGGACGGCGCAGGACACCCTGCTCAAGCGCTTGCGGTGCTGTCAGCGTCCTGCTTGTGATAAGCTTCGCGGGTCTGCTATAGGCGACAAGTGTAAGGTCGCGCCTGTGGCTTGGGAGGACATCCGCAAGCGCGACTACATCCTGTCTATACCTTCGGCATGCCATCTCACCCAGGGGACTGCTGCCTGCCGCCGACCAAGCTTTGATCGACGGCGGTGCAGCAGGACGACCCCAGCAAATCTACCGATGGACACCTCTTGCACCACGTCCGTCCTCCCGTGAGTTGCTGCGGACCGGGTGGCCGTGCGGGTCGGTGTCCGACCACTGGGCAGGAGCTGGCTCGCGTGCACGCCCCCTCCCCAACCTCCTCCTCCTCCTCCTCCTCCTCCTCCTCCTCTTCCTCCTCCTCCTCCTCCTCCTCCTCCTCCTCCTCCTCCTCCTCCTCCTCCTCGAGTCTGCTGCGTGTACCGCCTCCTGCCAGAACAAAGGTCCAGTGATTGGCAGCACGTGGTGCGCAGGCGTGGGCCGCACCACGCTCGGCACGGCTTCGAGGTTCAGAGAGCTCCTGCCGGCAGGCTCGTGTGGGCGGGCTGCTGACTCGGAGGTAGGCCCGCGCCACGAGTGTTGAACAGGTCGAGGAGCAGACTGGCGGGCGACCCCCGCCTGAAGTTCTGTAAAAGCGGTTCATGGATTGGCCGGCCCGTATGCGGCGCGTGGGGCAGTGGCTCACGAGACGCCTACCCCAAAGCAAAGCGAATGTCGAACGAGCCCTCGAATCGCATATGAAGCATACGGTTCAGACGGGCCTGTCCCCCTGCAGGGGGATTTTGGAGGAAAAAACAAGAAGGAAACACAAAAAAACAACAACAACAACAAAAATGCTCAAAAATCATCCCTATACTATTTTTGACTATTTTTGAATGTTCCCCCTGTAGAGGAACAGGCCCGACTTGAGCCTACGGTTTATCTGTCAGGCTGCTCACTGTGTGGCCCCGTGCGGCCTCCCCCGGGCCACCCGCATCGGCGGGGGCGCCTCCTGCGACTGCCCCACGGGTTGGGCACCCCTGGCTCCGTGAAGGGGTCCCGGGACACACAGATACACAGACACACAACCCTCCGCCTCCTCCTCCTCCTCCTCCTCCTCCTCCTCACACACTTCCTCTGCCTACCCTGTCACGTTGTTCTTTAGCTCCTTCCTGTGATCACACATCCCGTCGCCATCGACGGCCAAAACCTTCAGGGTCGGCGGCACCGGCCGTAAGGCCTTCACAATACATACACACAAGCGACAGGATTCCCTATGTTTTCCTATGTTTTCTGGGTTTTTGTCTCCCCCCGCACTTCCCATATTTTCCCATATCTTTTCCTGGGAATCGACGATTGTGCCTGTGCGTGCTGAATCAACTCCCGAAGCTGGAGAGACGAGTCCTGGCACCGTGACCCAATGCTTGCGGGCGACGCGCCAGGCCATGCCCCTCAGCAGTGTCTGCACGAAGGCTCGCAGGCTCTGTGGCGCTGGGCTCACAACGCTAGACCACAAGTGCGCTGGCAGATGCTGCCCCGACGCCACGGTTGTGAGGGGCTCCCAACGTCGCGCTTCGCACTGCGCGAAGCGCGAAGTGCGACTAATTTCGCGCTATCGCGCCGCCTCCCGGGAGAGAAGAGGAGAATGAGGAGGAATCCGCGCCGAACCGCGAAGCGCGAAAAACTTCGCGCCCTCGAGGGCGCCCTGATTGTGTAGGTGTGTCTTCGGTGCAAACCGGTTCCTTCGGGATGCTGCGTGGGGTATCTCGACCAACGGTGCCCAGAGAGACCTCACAGCGCTCGTTCGCCGAAACATGATTGGTACCGCACATGCGCTGGCAGCCCCCCCTTAATTTGACAACGCCTGGCCTGGTGTGGGATCACTCGACGTTGTGCGCCTTTCTGGCTACTCTGTCTGGCAGGTCTCCTGGCGGCCTTGCGCGGCTACGTGGGGGGGCGCAGCCCCGACTGGCGGCCTGCAGTGATCGCTCGCTGCAGGCTGCTCACCATTCATGTGCGCCTTCGCCGCACTCCCGCCTTCCAGCGGGTTTCAGGTGTCGTGCTCCACGGCTGCCTGGCTCCTCATTTCACCGAGGCCGAGCAGTTCAGCGGCAAAATCCTCCTCCGCATCCTCCTCCTCATCCTGCGACTCCAACTCCTCCTCCTCCTCCTCTTCCCCCTCCTCCTCCTCCTCCTCCTCCTCCTCCCCCTCCTCCTCCTACTCCTCCTCCTCCTCCTCCTCCTGCGACTCCTCCGACTCCACATCATCCTCATCCTCCTCATCCTGCTCCTCCTCCTCCTCCGACTCCGACTCCACATCCTCCTCATCCACCTCATCCTGCTCCTCCTGCACCTCCTCCTCCTTCACTCCTCCTCATCCCCCTCCTTCCCATCATCATCCATCCATCCCTCATCCTACATCCTCCATCCTACATTCCCGCGCATTCCTCTACTC